AAGCACATTCATCAGCCAGAGACAGACTTCAGGGTCAGGTTCGGAGTCCTCGCTTTGGTTTTCTGAAGTCACTTATTTTATTTAGATGTAAAAAAAAAAAAATACAAAATAATTGTGTCTCTTATATTTTAGCAGTTTTTCTGCTGTCACCCTTTGCCCTCCCTGAGGGTTTTGATTGAAAAGTGAAAAGCAGTTTCACTCTTTAAAAGACAAGAAAAGGGCTCAAAAACATATCTGCGCTGTTTGGAGGAACTTTGATCATGAATCAAAACCACATCAAACCATTTCTGATGTTCATATCCATCAAGTTCTTTAATTGCCACAGTAGCTTTGAAAAAAGACAACTACCTTCATAGTTCTGCCTTGGATGAATAGAGGACCGCATCTCTAAAGAGACCATGTTATCTCTGAGACAGAAGTAAGTCAAGGTGGCATATCCTTAATGATCAAACTGCTATAGCTGGTAATATAAGAAATGACTGCGTAATGGATAGCATGAACAGTTAGAAGGCATATTGACACTTGTTCTGTGCATTAATGAGAAAAGAGTTCAAACTTTCTCATTGTGTCACATTCAGGAATTTCAGTTATGACGTAATTCCCAATATTCAGATTAGGGTTCAAAAAATATTGGTTATGTGGTTGTTTCTTAAACTATTTCCTAAATACTGTATGCAATCTTGTCCAGTATAGTCTTGTAAGGCAGATATAGTTATTTATTATTCCTAAAGTGGTTCATTTTAAATTCTGTAACAGTTCTTTTAATTTGGAAAAAAAAAATAATCAGGATTCCGTTTTAATTGTGTCTCGTTATGACTTTTCTCATTTAACACAATAATGATCTTTTGGGGTAATTTCTCAGCCAAATTGGACATGCGATTAATTAAATTAATTAATCGACGCATTGTGTAATTAATAATATATACATATACTGTATGTAAGAATCAACCATTGAAAACCATATTTGTTTAAAGTACCATTTTTGAAAGTATCTTATGCTCACCAAGGCTGCATTTTTATCTTAAATACAATAAAAACAATACTCCACTATTCAGTGTCACACGATTCTTTAGAAATCAATCTACTTTGCTGATTTGGGGCATCTAATGTGCTGATTTGGCAACATTTCTTACTTTAAAAAAAAGTTTTTCAGGATTCTTTGATGAATAGAAAGGACACAATTTATTTAAAATGGAAAACTTTTGTAACAAACATATTTACTGATAAGTTTAATGTATCCCAAAAAGAGGTATTCATTTTAAAAATAAGTAAATAAATAAAGATCAATCAAACAATCAATTAATCTTACTGCCCTAAACTTTTTAATGGTAGTGTGTGTGTGTGTGTGTGTGTGTGTGTGCATATATTTATATTATTTTTAAAGGGGAACATGTCACAGCATAACTGAGTTTAACAGAAATTGAAAGGAAAAGCATAAAGCATTACAAAAACACTGCATAGACAGTCAATAAATGTTTTTTTTATTACCTAAAAACTACATTTAGGTAGAAATAGATTTTTTATCAATTAAAATGTAATATTCAGAGGGGTTATGCAAATGATAAGAGTTTTTTTTTTAGTTTTCTAATTTACAGTACTTAAATTTTTATTTAGAGTGTGTTTCAATCAAATAATGTAATTTAGTTTAGTATCACAGTAATTATATCAATAGCAAGTCTTGGGGCACAACTGGCACCATTTACAGAGAATGAGTTGTATACTTAGTGAAGCAGCGAGCCAAGAATGCAATTCGTGAATTAAGTAAACTCACAAATGCCTCTGAGCTCCTATCTGTGAAGAGAACAAAAGAGTTTGGGTGGTTACATCACGGCTGTCCCAGCAGAGAGAGCTCAGTGGTTTAAATACAGCATGTCCTATTCACGTCCCACTGCTCTGAGATACAGCTAGTTTCCTCTTCAGCCTACTCATTTCTCTCAGCCACCTCGCAAACTCTGTCACATACACACATAAACAAGCTCCATAGTCACAGACATGGATTGATGCCACAAGTGTGTCATACAAATGAGGCTTATTTAATGAGCCTTCCCTTTGTGCAATTAATCAGTTTCAACATCAATTAATTAGTTAGCAGAGATGAGGGTGGGGAGGCAATGACTGATGCCGTTGACTCAGTCTCAGTCTCAGTCTGTGCTGTCTGATAATACTTCAGCCATAATATGTGACCCACTAACCACTTTATCAAAAACCACATTTCCATTATTGCTGTTTTCCAGAGGCGGACAGTAACTAAGTACATTTACTTGAGTATTGTACTTAAGTACACTTTTTGAGTATCTGTACTTTACTTGAGTATTATTTTTTCTGGGAACTTGTGACTTTAACTTCACTACATTTGAAAGACAAATATTGTACTTTTCACTCCACTATATTTCTATCAAGATCCTCGAAGTAGAAAGTCATCAGCAGTGTAACGAATCAGCTCATGGGAAATATGAATAATTAACTATAACTATAAAATCAGTGGGCGATTTCTTTTTTGGGACAATTTATCAGTAATCACTCTTATCTACATGAAATTATTTCCCAGCATTTTTTTAACACTGCCCAGTTGCAAACGTGATATTTATTTACAACAATTGAATAATAAGAAGTTAATATTGTGGTATATATTAGACACAATATTGTCTGATTTTGCTAAATTGTGTATGTGAAAATATTACCTATAAAGCCACAGAAGAACTGTTGTGCGTCTCCTAATAAAACACAATAGGTGTTGGACTTGAAGCAGCACTGCACAGATTCTGTGTGACATCAAAGTACCGCGAGAGCGATTAGACAGCACTTTAAAAAAAAATTTTTTAATGTCAAATAGGTCTTGCTGTTTTGCTTTTTTGTTAAAGCAGTGTTGCTGTTGTAAAGTTATACAGCTACAGTTGTGTTGCTGGGTTTTAAAGCAGGTTCGATTTTTTTTC